TATTACTTTATTCACTTAATAACCAGTGGCTCCTTAACATAATATTCCCTATTTCCCCCATACCCACTCTGTTGTGCATTAAGTTGATTGATTTATTAAAAGGGAAGAAACACAAGAAAAGACAAGGATGTCAGCTATTACCATCAGTGATAATATTAAATCCAGGGATCTCATTAACACAATTACAAACAGAAGGTAATTCAAGGTATGGAATAATGTAAAAGTGGAGGTGAAATTATCATTATTTGCAGATGATCTGAGGTGTACTGGGAAAGCCCCAGAGAATCAGCTAAAAACTACAAAAAGTAAGAAAACTGATAGCATCCGAGCACAAGCACACACACACAGATTAATCTTCTTCATACAGAGAAACATCAATCAGTTAATAAGAATTACAAAAGATCTGTGTGAAGGAACTTGTCAATCAGTCCGGCGGGTTGTAAAGAACACAGGAGTAAGTGAAAAGCCATTCCTCTGTGGATCCTTTCTCTGGATACAAATAATCAGCATCATAAAAGTTCCTCTGTAAATTTAATGGGATCTCAATAAAAAGATCTGGTTATCCTTTGAAACTGGAAAACTAATTCAAAAGACTTTATGGAAAAGTAACATAAAAATAGCTAGGAAAATTAAAAATAAGGGAAAACAAGGGTGACCTAGTTTCATCAGATATTAAATTGTCCAAATAATTAAAGCCACGTGGTACAGAGTCATGGATGGGGGTAAAAAATACAAAGTATAGAATGGAAGCAGACATACGTGGGGATTGAGATCACAAGGAAGGGGGCATTTTAAATGCAGGCAAACTGCTGCATCAGGCAAAATGCAGTGATGAGGCAACCAGGTGGGCACTGGGAAAAAAGACCCATTTCTAACATCAGAGGCCAAAATAAATCCTAAGTAGGTAAAGTATTTTTTAAAAGTGGAATCTATCAAATACTAGAAGAAAAGCTTTTTTTCTGAAACCTAAAAAAAAAAATCAGCACCCATATAAGTGTAATACCAAATCAAGAGGTCACAGAAGAAAAAGACTGGTCAAAAGCCAACTATGTAAAAGGAAATAAAACCCTGCATGGAGAAAAAAACATAAGCAAAGCCAAAACAAAACACTAATTAGGTAAAAATCCCACATTCTAGGCTTATTTAATACATAAAGAATTCTTTAAAATCAGCAAGAAAAAGACCTACCAGAAAAATGAGCAAGGGATAGGAATAATTCATAGGAAAGAAAATACTTAGTATCTTACAAACATATTAACATTTATGGATATAACATAAAATATTTATATGAATAAAAAGCTGAAAGTAGCTTTTCAAAAAGAATATTTAAGAAAAATGCCTTCAAAACATGTTGTATACCTCAAATATACACAAGTTTTACTTCTCGGTCACATCTCAATAATGCTGGGAAAAAAAGAAAATCCTTTTTAAATATGTACAAGATAGTAAAGCTTATTTATCACGAGAGAAAGGCAAATTAGAACTATACTCAGAGACCACTTTTTCACCTGTCAGACTGACAATAATCAAAAAATCAGTAATGCCTTTGGTAACAGAAGAAATGAGTATTTACAAACATTCCAGGAGTGTAAACTAGTAATCAATTTGGTATTACCTATGAAAATTAAAAATGTACATTCCCTAGCCAGCAATTCCACTCCTAGATACACTTGCACATGTAGATAGTGCCATGATTATTCCTTGCAGCACTGTTTATAACAGCAAAAGACCAGAAACGACCTAAAATTCCCTTTAGTAGGGGTTCCTTAAAATATGACATCTCCACAAAATGGAATACTTTGCAGCTGTAAAAAAGAAAGCAATTAAATAATTATAAATAGATATATATAGAGAGATACGGAAAATATGCTACCATGTGTTTAAAAAGTGGAGAAAATGGCGAATACACCTGCAATTGTTTTGTGCAGCACACTCTCTCTGGAAGGATATGGAGAAATTGGGTGCACTGGTGACCCTGGGTCCAGAGAACCACGTGGCTGGGGAACAAGGATGGGAAAATGACTTGCACTACTGACTCTTCTGACTTAGAACTGTATGCCATGTGCCATGATTAGCTTTTTTTCAAAACATTTTTTTTTTTATTAAAACAGCACAAAAAAGGAAAGTTTGTTTTTGGTTTTTTAAAAAGAGCAATTAACCCATGACTCACCAGTGATATCCCTCCTGGTGGCCCGTGGCTCAAAGTCCATGGCATAGAGATCAGAAACGGTGACAGTGCAGCCCTGCTTGCTCAGCTCATCCACAGCCACCTTCTTCAAGGATCCATTGAAAGACCTGGGTTCTTGGTGCGCATAGACGATGAGCACTTTCTTACCTACATCAGAAGAAACAATTTCTCTTGAAGAGTAATTCCTCTGTCAAAATTCCACAAGGACGAAGACAAACATAAAATATGTAGGTGCATCACAGCGGCAGAAGTGATACTGTGATTTATAATGAGGAATATATATTTTATGTTCGTCCTGTTTCTGGCTCACGGCCCACCAGGCCCTTGCAATTTCCGAAGCTACACGAGCAACAACGGTCTTTTGTTATGCTAATGCGCGGCCGCGGGAAAGCAGCCCGGCCGGGACTGGTCGCCAAGGAGCCGACCATGTGAATAGAGGATCGGAACTTTCAGTCCCACCCTGACCTCCAGGGAGGGGAGAAGGGCTGCAGGTCGAAAATTTCCCAGTGGCCAATGATTTAATGAATCGCGCCTGTGTAACGAAGCCACCATAATATCCCAAAAGGAGGGGCTCGGAGACTTCTGGGTTGGGCAGAGTGGCTGCTCAGAGCCAACCATCTCCTCACGCTTCCCTGTGCCCTGCCCTGTGAGCTCTTCATCTGGCCATTGCTTTGTATCCTCTATTCTATCGTTTAATAAACAGATGAATGTGTTTCCCTGAGTTGTGTGAGCCACTCTAGCAAATTAATCGAACCTGGGACACCTGTCCAAAGGGTGGCCCATGGCTCAGAAGCACAGGTAACAGCTTGGGGCAGCAGCCTGGGGCTTGAGCCTGGAGTCCAGCATCTGAGGGTGGGTGTGGGGGCAAGGGCATCTTGTGGGCCTGGGCCCTCAACCTGTGGCATCTAATGTTATCTCTGGGTGGGTACCGTCAGAACTGAGTTGAATTCTCTTATCCAAGAACTGCCTGATGTAACCCCCTCACTACAACACACACGCATTGGTGATCTCAGAATACACATTCGGTAAGAAACATCGACCTTTTTTATGGATGACAGTTTGAAAATAATGAGCCTTCTTAAAAATCCAGGTATGACATCACTTGAGTTTACTAATGCACAAACATACCATGGATCAAATTACAGTTCTTCAAAGATAACACCACTAAATTCTTTAAAAGGCCAATCTATTTTGGTTATCCTCTATGAGAAGTTTTAGCCTGTTCCCTAATAGCAAAATAAAAAGTAACTCATCCTTCACACTAAGCCAACAGTGGCAGGAGCCAGGTCCGGACACACAGGTCAGCATCCTTACCCTCCAGGCCCACTGAAATGCGACACTTAAAACATGAAAAATCAGACCCCAGTCCAGTGGGGAAGGCAGGGCCTGCACGGAGCCCCACTTTTGGCAGTGTGGCTGATGACAAAGGGGTGCTGAGAGCCAGGGCTTACAGGTCCTGGCTGAGACATTTATACCACTGGCCTCTTAAGCAGCAGACTCCTGGTTCAGAAGACTCAGTGAGACTGCGTGACACGTGAGGCAGCTTCGGTATTTGCTTAAATTTGCTCTGGTTGTCTTACTAAAATGTTCTAACTCTCAATGTAAATATTTCAGTTTAGGCCTTTAAGGAGAAAATGCAAATGTTAGTTTGAAGCACACAGTTTCCAGGCACTCAACTAGGTATAAGCGTTCAATTCCATGAGTTAGATTAATGATCAACATTTTAACTTTAACTTCTCAGATTCGTGTTTTACAGGAACTCTATTTGGGGATTAATAGGAGAATGGATACAAATGACGTATCTACATCAGTGGTTCTCAACTGGAGGCAGTGTTGCCTCCCTGGAGACAATACACAAACGTGTGGAGACAGTTTGTGGTTGTCACCGCTGGGAGGGGTCAGAGACCAGGGATGCCACAGGGCATCCTACAAGGCACAGGCCGGCCTCACAACAAAGATCATCTGGCACCAATGGGCAGCAGTGCTGAGGTTGAGAAACCCTAATCTACACTATGATGTGTAAAAGAAGGTGATTTTCATGTTCTGAAATGAAAGGACTTTCATGTCATATTATTGAAAGGAAAAAAAGAAGTTTTAGGATTGTATGTTTACATGTATGTGTCATGGGAATTCAACTTAAAGTGAATTTTAAGCCAGGGTTACTCCAGGGACTCACTGGGCCATCAATAACTATTTTTTGAGTACATACTATGTCCTAGGGATCATTCCCGAGATTAGAGGCAGAGTAAAGACAAGACAAGCAGGGCCCTTACTTCTGAGAGAGAGATTGTGGAGGTATTAAAATCAACAATAAAACAAGTAAGAAAATACAAAATGAGATAATGCCAGGTAGTAATTCATGTCATAAACAAAATGAACTTAATACACTTCAGTGTGACTTGGATTTTTTTTTTAAACATATTTGATTTCTAATTAAAATTTTATTTTAAACGTGTTTAACTCCCCCATGTCTAATAGTCACCTGCCATAGTCTAGGAAGATGGATTCTGTCCCTCTAACACTGCCCAGAGGAGCGTATGCTGTTAATCCTGGGCACAGAAGGAGGCTTTCAGGTGTGGCTACTCTCCTTGGTGACCCCAGCAACCTGAAAGAGAAAACAAATACTTGAGGGAGGCAGGGGGCCACGGTGCGAGGTGCACATACCAACCCAGGCCTCACTGGTGCTTCAGGGGGACATGCAAACGGATCCGGAAAAAAGGCTTCTCAAGAGAGGCAAGGAGCCCCTGGAGATTCAGGCCTAGAGGACAAATCATGCAGGGGTCAAAACCAGTAATTTTTCTTTTTTTTTAAGAGGATGCTGAACCTTCTGTGGAGGCAGCTGTAGAGAAGAGGTCCTGGGAAATGACACATCAGGTAGGAAGTGGGGGTCCTTCCTCCCTCCCCTAAGCTTTCCCCCAAGATCACCAATATGGCTGGCTGAACAGACAGAGGATGCGGGGTTGGGAAGAAATTCATAGCTGCCACATCCACCAGTCTACGAAGTCTCTTCTTAGCATGGCTAATAAGAGAGAGTCCCGACATGTAGCAGCTCTGGAAAAACACAATAAGGCTCTGGAAAAACATGAGCTCTCTCTAGAAGCTTGGCCCTTGCCACCGGCCTTCTTCCAAGATGGACTGTGGAATGATGGCTAAGGCTGACTGTTATCCTGGGGGTAGAGGATATGGACTGCAGACAGCAGAGCAGAAATACAGGAGGATCCTGGGCTCCTGACGCTTCCTTGGAGCTGTGAGATGGTTTTGGATTGCCAACCTCCAGACTTCTTTACCTGAGAGACGCAATTCTGCATTGTGTTTAAGCCGTTGGAGGTGGCTCTCCACTACCAGCAGTGAGAGGGACATCATTCCTAACCAATCTATGCATTATGCAACTGGGACCCAGCTTCCAGCGGACTCACCTGCTGGTCAGGTGCTGTACCAGGTGCTGAGGCTACAGTGGTGAACGTGACAGGAAGAGAATGAAACTTTATACTCCAGATGGGGGTGGGGTAGGGGGAGGCACAAAACAAGTGGGCAAAGACAGCAACCACAGAATTCTAGATGGTTTAAGTATTGAGGATAAGAAATGTTAAGTGAGTGGCAGTGATAGTAAAATAAAGTACTTTGGCACATAAAACTAGGGTTGTGTTTGCTATCTTAGGATGGCCCAGGCAGATGTCGCAGAGCAAGAACACGAATGCCATGGACCCAGTCACACCAAGATCTCGGGGAACAGGGCTCAGGCAGAGGGACAAGCAACTGTAAGGCCTGCGGTGGGAACTGGTCAGGAGGGCTCAAAGAAGCCTGTGCGACTGGCCAGTCTTTAAAAATGAGAATTGGGTGGTGGGAGATGGAGTCAAAGAGGTTGAGTGAGGTCTGTAGGACAAGGGCAAGGATTCTATCTAAGCCTAACAGAAAGCCTTAGGAGTATCTGAAGTGGGACAGTGACAGGGCCTGATCACCTTGGGAAAGGACTCAGGGAACACCTGATCCTGAGATTTCTAGGGTGAGGGTCCAAAGACATTTTGGTTTGGATGAAATGCTTTCATTTTAAGGCCTATAGCAGGGCATCCATTCGTCTGTATCCCTAGGCCTCCCCATTCCCTATGGTTTTGCTTGACCCCATTTACATATTTGTATCACACGGTTGGCCACTTCAGTACATGAGAGTTTGTGACTCCCCATCTCATCCAATTCTAGTTGCACAGAATAAGACACTAAGGCCCAAGAAGTGAGTGACTTGTCCAAAACAAGAGAAAAGACTCAAACCATGATCTTGATTAGCTAGCTATCCAGTGCTGGTCACATCCCATCTCTCCCTTTCCTTAAGGCCTTGCTGACGGCAGTGATGGCTTCCTCCTTATCCAGGTCAATAGGAAGAAAGAAACGTAGTTCGTGAAAATTAATAAAGGGAAAGGGAACCCTTATATTGAAAAGAGTCCAGAAGCTCTTAAGGGGTACTCTTATGCCAGAACTTTCCACGGCCACTTATTTCACAATCCTGGGCAAGAGGTTCTTTACTTCCCAGCAACAGCTTAGTCACTGAGAAACTGCCAGAACTCAGCCCAGGGGAAACCACCACCACCCTCACCTGGCTTTCCTCCAACAGACTTCTCCAAAGCAGCCCCTCACAACGGCCTCCTTTTTCTCAATAAAGTAATGTTCCTCTCTTTTGTTCTCTACACTTGCCTGTGGTTAACTATAGCTTGCAGGTCCTGAGTTACAACTCCTCTGCTCCTCCCAATTAAACTTGTTTTGCTGGTAAAATAACTGGCTCTTTTGTTTTTCAAGGTCAACAGGTTATTAAAGTGGGCTCTGATATTTTTGACGTGTATTATTTCATCTTAAAGAGCACCCAGAAGCTATTTGATGTTTTCACTCTGTTGCCTACGCCTCTTCCCTTTGAGACAGGCCCCTGCCTGTTCTAACAGCCAGATAACATTTCCCTGTGTACCTACACCATCCTCTGCATGCCCATTTGTGCCCATTTCTCTATTCCTGCGCACTTATGTTATTCCCATTTTTTCCACACCTACAAAAAGAACTGCAAGAATGTATTATTTACCTTCCTTTTCATGCATTTTTTGGCTTATATTTTCAGAGACTAAAAGTTTAAAAGGCTGACTTTTTAAGACTGTTACAAATGGCCTCAAAGTCCTTGAAAGGCTGAGCCAAAATACAAAATAAGAGGCTTCCAGGCGGTCTGCGCAGCCCAGCAGCCCCCTGGGCGTGAACCGTGGTCCCCGCTTTACAAACTGACCGTGGGCGGCTCAGTTTCATTTGTCATGAAATTTTAATCGAGTCATCCCATCATGATTTCATCACGAGGGCGGGCTGATCCGGCCCATTCAGTTAGGCACGCTGAATCGCCCAGCACGTGGTGGGGCTCAGGGAGAGGTAAGGACAACCCTATAGTGGAGACCGGCAGCGGCCGCGGGGTGCGGGACCCGGGGGACCACGAGCCCCGGTATGGCTGGGAAGCGGCAACCGGCAGAAACCTCTCCCTCCCCGCGGCTCGGGCCGGGAGCTGCGCCCCAGGAAACGTCCCTCCCGTGCCCCGGCCCCGGCGGGTGGAGGCACTCACCATCCGCCCCAACGCACGCCCCAGCGAAGGAGCGGCGGCGCTCAGACTCCGCCACCGGGAGGGAAGCCTCGGACGTCCGGGCCGCCGTCCGTCCGCCCTGCGGTCAGTCGGAGCGCCGGCGCTCACTGCGGACACCCGGAGGGCGGGAGCGCCGCGACTGCGCTCTGTGGGGCTCGTACCGCGTGGGCTGCGGCTCGCCCGGCGCCCTCGCCGCCCCGCCCCTCTCCCCGCCTCGGGCCCCGCCCCCGCCCCCACGCGGCTCTGCCCGGGGCCCCGCCCCGCCCCCTCGCGGCTCTGCCCGGGGCCCCGCCCCGCCCCTCCGGCGTTTGGACCTGACCTGGTTTGGCTCCTGGCCCTTGGTGGCCGGCGGAAAGCGAAGCCGGGAAAAGGAGGCCCTCCTGCGTGTGCCCCCTCCCTCCTCCCTCCCTATGCACGTGTCCAGGTTAAAAAATGAAGGTCCTTGGCCCAACGCTTAGCCATGAAAGGAACCAACTATTGATACACCCTGTGAGAATCTCCAGAGAATTAGGCTGAGTGAAAAAAGCCAATCCCCAAAGATTTCCTGCTGTGTGTTTCCGTGTAGGTAAATTCTTGAAATTACAAATTATAGAAAGGAGAACGATTAGTGGTTGCCAGGGTTTAGGAAGTGAGTGGGTGTGGCTGTAAGAGGGCAACCGGAGGCCCCGTGTAGGAATGGAGATGCTCTGTGTCTGACGGCATGCTCTGTGCCAGCAACCTGGCTGTGCCGCTGTGCTGTAGTTTAGCCAGATGTCTTCATTGGGGGCCGCTGGATAAAGAGCAACATGAGTTGTCCCTGTTATTTCTTAACCATTGCATATGAATCTATAATTTTCTCAAAGGAAAAGCTTAATAAAAAGAAAAGAAAGACGGTTCAAGGCCAACGAGATCTCCTTGGCAGAAAGGTACTAAACCAGAGTCTGTAGGTATGGGTGTATGGGGGGAGAGAGGTGCTGGTGAGCAGTTCAGTCTAACTGTCTCTCTTTTTCTTTTTCCAGCACTTTTGGGTTTGGGCTACCTCATTTGGTGGCCCACCTGCCATTGTAACCTTCCCAAAGACCCTCCCCAAACTGGTTGATTTCTTGTGTCCTAGGATGGTCCTATAAAGCAAAAGTAAGCTTTCTTCTATGTTTATAATATTCCTAATGAAAATAACTGCCCCAGTTGTTTGCGGACCAGTGTTGGGGATGGTCTGTCAGCTGTTGATGTTTTCCTTGTATTCAGAAGTGAGAATATGACCCCTCTCGTGCCAGCAGCGAACGGAGCTATCTTGTCTTGTGAGCCCAGGAGATCCTGGAGGCAGCTTTCATTTACTTTATCAAAGAAAAAAGTGCATGCGGCATTTCTGAATCTACTAGAATGTCCCCAAAGATGAAATTGGTTGTCTTTCCCCCTTTCTGGTGAGACTCACTTAGAGGATGTCCTCAAATCATCTTTGTGTCACAGAAAGTAAATGAGTCATCCTAAGAAAGATAAGTACAGGCCCTGCGGAATAACTGAAGGTAGACTTCCTTCCAAGGAGGGCAAGTGACCCTGATGGGCCAGTGGCAGGCCTGCATTCAGGTCTTTTGTCCTGGGGTATGGAAGCATTAGCCTGAAGTAGACCGAAATACTTCATTAGAGGTAGGCGGAGGCAGAGATGGAGGTGGATTAGGGACCTGCAGACTTTTGGATGCAGCCCCAGGCCCCTATCCCATTCCTATGAGGACTTCTAAGGAAAAACAGCCAAACATCTTGGTAGTGTGGATCTCGTGGGAGGACAAAGGGACTGTGAAATAGTAAGTGCTGGAACTAGTCTTGCAGCCGTCTTAGTCCTTGGTATGGAAACTGGAAGAGTTGAGCTCTGAGACCAAGATGCATCCTCCCCTCTGAAAGACAACAGGTGCAGGGAGGACGCAGCCGCACTTGACATCTCAGAGACGACAGCACCATCTTGTGGCAGTGAGGAGCAATCACGAATGTGGATTTTATTCCCTTGGAAATGGGAGCTGGCCTGCCCTCATTCTCTGCGCCTGAGTGGTGGAAGCCCCAGCAGTTGATTCTAGGATAATTTAATAGGAGCCCATCCACAAAAAGGAAATAACAGAACTTCCTGCTAATCTGGTGATGGTGGCTGAGTATTAACTGTGAAGGAATTTAGAACAAGTCTGCCCAAACGTGCCACTTTGGCATGTGGACTAGTTTGAGCTGAAGGTAGTCAAGACCCTGAGGGCTCAAGAGAAAATTTTACCCATTCCTTAACTACCTAGAAAAATCTAAATTGAGGTCTTTCCCCAAACAAGGGCTATTACAAGATATGAATTTTATTATCTGAGTGATCCATCCACATAGCAGGCAAATTAATCCCCAACATCTGCTCTCCTGTCCTCCTGTGAGTTGCCTCCACCCTTTGCAGCCCCAGGCCCCCACCCCATTCCTCAGCTCAGGGTGGCACACAAACCTCATGTGACCTTTCTGTCCTGGAACCTCTCACATATGTGGGGTTTCCCATAGGAATGAAAATAAATTTGATTTTCTCCTGTTAATCTGCCTCATGTCAATTTGATTCCTAGATCAGTGAGAAGAACCTTGAAGGGTAGAGGAAAATTTTTCCTCTCCAACAACGGCAAACAAATAAGATGTGACCATATTTGTATCCTGAGTTTAACAAGGGGGTGGTGTTATTAAAACAAGATAATAGAGTTAGCACCTCACCTCTGATTCCCATATTCTCATTCTCATTTCACCCCTTATGATGAAGAAATCCACGAATAGGATTAGGCATTCTAGGTAAGGGGTTAAGCCAGTTACATTGCTCCTTTTCTCTCCAACTCTTCACATTTGTGTCTCAGACAAAAATGAACATCCAGGGTTACCTTAAGGGCTAATCAAAGTAGCTCAAACTGTCTCCTTGAGTTACTTTTGGTTTTATTTAATGATTTTCTTTTCCTCTTCAAACAGCAGCTCCGTTTCAGGAAACAAACTCTTTCTAACAACATACAGTTATTTTTTTTTATTGTAGTAAATAAATATATATCACTGTTATTTATTCCCAAAAATTCTTCATCACCCCAAAAAGAAACTCAGTAACCATTAGGCAATCACTCCCTGCTCCCCACCTCCACCCAGGTCCTGGTAAATAACCTATACTTCAAACAACTACGATCATACAATATGTAATCCTTTGTGTCTGGCTTGTTCCACTTAGCATAATGCTTTCAAGGTTCATTCATATAGTAGCAAATATCAGAACTTGACTCTTCTCTAAGGCTGAGTAATATTCTATTTTACATGTATGCCTCATTTTGTTTATCCATTCATCTGTTGATGGATACTTGGGTTGTTGGCTATTGTGAATAAAGCTTCAGTGAATATTGGTGCACAAGTACCTGAGTCCCTGTTTTCAATTCTTTTGGGTGTACCTATGAGTGACACTGCTGGGTCATACAGTAATACTGTCTAAGTTTCGAAGAACTGCCAAACTTTTCCAAAGTGACCCCATCAGTTTACATTACTACCAGCAATGAACAAAAGTTCTGATTTCTCCACATTCTAACATTGATTATATTCCTTTTATTAATATAACCATCCTAATAGGTATGAAGTAGTATCACATTGTGATTTTAATTTGCATTTCCCTAGTGACTGATGACATTGAACATTGTTTCATGTGTGTATTGGCCATTTGTACATCTTTAGTGAAATGTCTACACGAGTACTTTGCCCATTATTTAATTCGATTTTTTGTCTATTTTTGGTTGAGTTATAGAAGTTTTTTATATATTCTAGATATTATCAGATATTTAATTTGCAAATGTTTTCTCCCATTCTGTAGGTTGTCTTTCACTTCTTTTGGTCCTTTTCCTCTAAAAGCAATTATCCAGATACTGTTTTTCTCTAATTGTTCCTCAAATTTCCTTTGATTGTTGTTTCTACCTTGCTGCTGAGTTTCCAGGAAATAGACTTTGAGGGTGGGATGGAGGCACAGTTTTTTCTTCTCAATAAATAGGCTGCTAATTCTGAATATTTTCAGGTTTCATTGGACATTTTGGGGTGAACAGATGTGTTGTTTTCAGGATGTCATTTGCCTCCAATTGAATATCACCCAAACTCTGAAATCTAATGAGGAAATCTAATGGTTTTTCCTCGCACATAACTAGAAGACATTGACCCTGCCAGTTTCATTAGGAAATGAGCTATTATGTTAATCTTTTTATAAAATCCCTGGTTTCTTGAGAAGTTTTTCTCCCTGTGGTGCTTTGAAAAAGGTCTGCTGCTTGACAAGAGTGAACAATCTTCATTCTTCAAAAGCTGTGGAATTGCAAAATTCTAATGGCAAACATGTTATGAATTATTTGTTTTTGCCCTAATAAGCCTTACGTGAATACCATCCCGACAAAATGATAATCTAGAGACTAAATTCAAGCAAAAAACTTATTGCAATTAAATACATTTTTTTGATGTTAAGTAGCCATTCATACCATTGTCAAACTGAGGAAAGGGGGCTAAACTGAAAAAGAACAGAGCCCTTTTATTTGAGGTCTCAGAATTGCAATTCAGGAAGCACTGATTCCGGCATAACCAGAACAGTGTCCTGCCCGTATGGGGAAAGCAAGGGGTTTTTATGAGAAAGAAGAAAATGAGTAAGTACCGGATTTAGATATAGAAAAGGGGAAAAAACTGCTAATTTGGTGCTAGCAGGTTGAGTCACTTTTGATTATCCTCTGATGGATTGTACTGATGTGCTTAAACAAAACTATTGTTTGTATGCATTAACTATTCTGTCATCATAGAGTTTATATCAACAACACTTTATGGTGGAGGGAAGATGGCAGATTAGGAAGGCAAAGTGGAAACCTCCTCCCACACACCCACCAAGGAAACAACTACAACAAATGCAAAATGACCTGAAGACTGCAGAACAGTCTGGTATACTTCACACACCTGGTGAAGAAGAGAAGACCACACAGAAAAGGGTAAAGTGGCAAAGCCATGACCAAGCATGACCCAACCCTACCCCCATTCCAGCAGGAGGAAGAGGAACAGAGTCGGGAGGGGTTAGGTGCTCAGAAACTCTGCACACCTGGCCCTGGAGATATGCTCTGGGAGCACGAGTCCACATTACACTGGGTTCTGGTGAGTAGTAGGGCTGGACACCAGGGAGAGTTGGAATGCTCTGGGAGGCTGAGATGCCGGCCACTTGTGGAGAACAGGCACGCTCTGCTGGTCCTGCTGAGACCCAACACAGAGGTGGCAGTTTGAAAGATTTCCCAGCAACAGGAGGGGTGTCAGAGGGGTGAGGGTCAGATGGAGGTCTCTCTTCAGGACAAAGGGCGGGTTGATGATACCTCCCTCAGCCCAACAGTTCGGGCACTCTCAGGAGCCACAGGTGCTCCATCACCCTCACTGGTGGCTCAGCCCTGAGGCTCTTCCCCATGTACTGCTGGTGTGCTGGCCCACTCAGCCCAGCAGCATCAGACTTCACAGCCTGGCAGGCAGAGGGAATCTTTTCCAGCTTTCTCAACCTCGCTTCAGCCCAATTAGGTTCCTGTAGGAGCCAGCTCCAAGTGCTCCTTCGTCCCCACAGGTGACCAAGCCCAGTGCTGCATGCCTCACTGCCACCAGGGGGCAACCATGGGACATGACACCACTGATGCCATACACCCTACCACTGCACCCAACCCTCTGTGCAGCATACCTGCTTCAGAGCCAAGCAACCACCCCAGAGATGCACAATTGCCCCTCACACCCTATAAACCCTGCAGCCCATCAACACTGCAGGGAAGACAGAGGGCAGTCCCACACACAATCCCAGCAGAAGCCACTGCCCTGATCACAAAGGGTTGCCTAGACAAACTGCCAGCCATAGCAGACAGCGACCACTGCCAGTGACAGAAAGGCGACCCCACCTATTGCCCACCAACAGCAATGGGGTTGCACCTCAAAGGTGAACCAGGTACTGGAGAGGAAAGAGTCTTGAGCTTCTGGGCACTATAGGACACCTTTTTCCTAATGTCATTGCTCTCTAGGCTGGAAAGCATAACAGATCCATCTAACATAAAGGACAAAACACAGAATCCTTGAGGCAGAGGACAATGTTTCAAATAAAACAATAGGAGAAGACATCAGAAAGAGTGCTAAATGAAACAGATATTACCAATCTTCTTGACAAAGATTTCAAAATGATAGTCATAAATGTGCCCACAAATCTGCAGAGAAGTATTGAAGAGCTCAGGGAGGACTTCAACAAAGAGATGCAAGAGTTGAAAAAGAGCCACTCAAAGCTGAAGAATAGAGTGACTGAAATGAAATAGACAATGGATAGAATGAATAATAGATTGTTGCAAGTAGAAGAGACAATCAGATGGAAATTAGAGAACAGGAACACAACTAAGCTGAGGAAAAGAGAGAAAAAAGAATCCACAGGAAAGAAAGAATTACAAGAGAGCTGTGTGACCATCTAAACAAAACAATAGTCACATAACAGGGGCACCACAAAAAGAAGAGAGACAAAGTGATAAAAAGTCTCCTTGAGGAAATGATCATTGAAAATGTCCCAAGTCTGGGGAAGGAAATAGACACCATGTCATGGAAGCAGAGAGTCCCTAAGAAAAGGAACCCCGGGAAGACAACACTAAGACATAATAATTAAAACTACAAGGACTAAGGATAAGGGGAGAGTATTGAAAATATCCAGAGAGAGAGAAAAGATTACTTATAAGGGAAATCCCATCAAGTTATCGGCAGATTTCTCAGCAGAAACTTTACAGGCCAGAAGGAAGTGACATGAAATATTTAATGTATTGGAACATAAGGACCTTCAACTAAGAATCCTCTACCTAGCAGGATTATCATTCGAATTTGAAGGAGGGATTAAACATTTCCCAGATAAATGAAAGCTCAAGGAATTTATAACCACTAAAACACCATTACAGGATATATTAATGGTACTTCTATAGATGGAAAAGTTCCTAAGTCTAAGTACTTTTCACCAGTGAAAATAAACCTACAGTAAAGGTAGTAGATGAATTACTTACCAAGCGAGTATGGAATTAAAGTGAAACAAAAGTAGTTAAACCAACTATACACAAAATCAGTCAAGAGATACACAAAAAGTGCAGATTATGACATCTAATACAAAAAGTGTGGATTTGGTAGAAAAAGGGGAAAAAAGTACTTTTAGACTGTGTTTGAAGTAGATCAACTTCATATAGACTGTTATACAGTCAGGAAGCTCTCTTTGAACCTTATGGTACCTGCAGATCTAAAGCCCATCATAGATACACAAAAAATTTAAAAAGACAAATCTAAGCACAGCACTAAAGAAAACCATCAAATAAGAGTATAAGAGAGGAAGAAAGGAACAGAGAAAAAGTATAAAAACAGCAAGAAAACAATTAATAAAATGGCAATAAATACATACCTATCAATAATTATATTAAATGTAAGTGGACTGAATACACCAATCAAA